GGGATGGGCAAGAAAAACCATAGCGTCTTCCTCTTTCTAGCCACTTAGAACTAGTTAATGATAGACCATTTTACTCAAATAGGGGCCTTTAAGTTTAAGAGAACAGAAAGAAGCTAAGGAACCAGAGAAAGACGTTAGAGCTAGTACAGGTTTAGTTCTATCTCTTTCGGGAACAAATCCTGTTGGGTAAGCTCAAAAGTGAAGTCAATTCGTGTAGCCCGTTACCGTTAGTCAAGTGATTCGCTTAGTAAACGAGTAGAAAAAACTCTTCTTTCAAGTCAAGTGGAAGAAAAAAACAATGCGCTATCGAAGAACAAAATCTATCCTTTTGGCTCAAGGCTTAGTGCTCGGCAGGTCATAGATAAAAGGGTTAGTTGCGTTACGAGGGTTGAGGGCGACTTTCAGAATAGAAATTTAAAGCTAGCCTTTCAGGAGTAGCCCTTCCACAAGCCAAGCTAGGGACTGAAAAGGCTAAAGGTAAAACAACACGAGATGGATAGAGCGATCAACCACTATAAGGTTATTCTCGGCTAGGGAGAAATGAGTGAAAATTTGATCTATTTAGAAAGTAAAGAAAGATTAGGGCTTTCTTTAAGTCGGAAAAAGTTGAATTAAATCTTAAATAGAAGAACCCCGCACAAAAGGGACTATGACTTCGGGTTGAAAAAGATAATTTGTTAGCGATGAGAAAGGACATTCACAACCTTCTTGAAAAGTCTAGCATACTTGTCATAAGAAGCTTTTCCTTGAGAAAGGGTCCTTTAGCCTATCTTATGTTCATATTTGGAGGAGTGAGCGAGCTGGGTTAAAAGACTATGCTACTTGTGGCCTCTACAATTATAAGATCCGACATAAGACAAGGAAGACGGTTCCCCAGCGAAAGATTGTCTCATTACTATTGAATAGCATTGCAACTAGTATCAGTTTTACGTTACTTTATCTTGACACGGCCAAATAAATTTGGGATCCCTTGGCCACCATGTATTCTAACACAGATAATTTGACTCGAGCTTATAGTGTGCAAATAGTATTTTCGCCTAAAACAAGGTGCTCTGAGTCTCGAAGATTATTACCCTCAAATTCGGGGTGTTTGTGAGGAATTGAAGACCTACCACCACCCGTTTACTACTGATGTGACTGTTTTGCAGAAGCAACGTGAGGAGTTGGATGTTGTTTGTTTCCTTATTGATTTGAAACCTGAATATGAGCCTATTCGCTTCAGATTTTGGGTGAGTCCAGTCTTCTATCTCTTCCTGAGGTCTTCTCTCTTTTACTGTGCTACCATGTCTACTCACTCTTCCTCCCCAGGTATTGTTAAGGACTTGTCCACTGATCGCTCAACTCTTGTTGTTCTCACTGGCCACAATAATGGAGGTTGTGGCAGTTGTGGAGGTCCTCGTTCCTACACTCATTGTGGTCATAGAGGTTAACATTGTTGATTATTGTTGTGATTTACATCAAAAAATCGTCTGGTGCTGCAATCAAATCTCCTATCAGAATGATACTTCCTCTCTACCGGCTCTCATATGTCGATCAGCTCCACCTGACTCTGAGTTGGTTACTATCACACGAGAGGAGTATGGTTAATTCATGTCTCTACATCTGATTGCTCCATCTTCCTCCACTGCTACATTTACCCAGTTAGGTATCACTTTCACTTATTTATTATCCTCCACTCGCAGTCCCTGAAGCATTGACTCCGACGATTTAGATCACATGACTAGTTCGTCTAGTGTATTTTATACTTATCGTCCTGTTACTTTCCCATATAATGTCACTCTTACTAATGATACTTCTTATAAGGTTTCAAGTTTGGGGACTACTCAATTGAGTCATGATGTCCTTATAATTTGTTTTATTTGTCCCTCAATTTCCTTTTTAGTTTACTTTCCGTTAGCAAGATTATTCGTTCCTTTAATTGTTCAGTAACTTTTTTTCTCTCTTACTGTGTATTTTAAGATCTCTAGACGAAGAAGAAGACTAATACAGACCATGAAGTCGATGATCTCTACTACTTCGACCTTGATCCACTTACTCGGGCACTTTAGACTTCGTCATCTCCCTTTCAATGACATTATCGTCTTGGTCATCCCTCTAAATCTAAAGAGTCAAATTCCCAACCTTTGTTCTGTGTCGTGTGAAGCTTGTCAACTTAGTAAACATCAATATGGGTCTTTTCAGTCTAGATTCAATAATCGTGTATCTACTCCCTTTGAATTAGTATATTCTGATATATAGGGTCCAATAAAAAATATTTAATCTAATAAATTCCCTTATTTTATGACATTTGTGGATGATTATTCTCATGTGACTTGGTTATTTCTTATGAAAGCTCGTTTTGAATTATTTTTTATTTTTGAGACCTTTCATAAAGAAAGAAAAATTTAGTATGGTTGTCGTATTCGCATTTTACGTTCTGATAACACTCGTGAATGTGAATCTGATCCCTTTTCGGCTTATCTTCGAAAAACTGGTATTATTCATCAGACTTCCTGTTCTTGTGCCGGCACCTCTCAGCAGAATGGTATTGCTAGGCGAAAAAACCGTCACCAGTTGGAAGTTACCATATATATATATATATATATATAGAGAGAGAGAGAGAGAGATACTATAGATACACCAAACAAAACAAAGGTTTCATTGAGTCATACTTGGGAAATCTGGTTGATGTTATTTCGGATAAACAAATGTGGTTGCTTTTCCAGCACCTTGTTCATGACATCCAGGCCCTGTGCAAGAGCTGTCGACGGGTCTTTTGACTGAGATGGTTGAATACTGCTTAGCAGCTTCTCCAGATAATTGAATTTCACATTAGCATTTGGCCACACCTCCAATGCTTGTGATAGGAGATCTAAAGCTTGTTTGTACATGAGACTTGCTTCCTTATCCTTGGGCTCTATCACCAAAGCTACCTACTTTCAGGAAGCCAAAGTCAATACCACTATAGGACTGGTAATAACACAATCTCAAATCATAACATGACAAATTTACATGCAGATCAACTGATGGAAATGTGTGACCAATTAATTTCTCAGCACTCAAAGAAAATGTCAAATTATGAAAAGTGTAACCAATAGGCATACTTTATAAATTTGCTGGTTGCTTCCATGGAAATTCAAAACGGATAGTGGATGTCAGCAAGTGAACACATTAAAGCAACTAAAATAACTATGGCAATAACACAACAAATTTTGCAGATTAGATACAACTAAGATTACGGAAGAACCCTAGCACCTTAGGCCAAAAGTAGTGGCCTCAGCACTAAGGTTACCAATGAAAGTACGCAAAAAATTTGTAGTAGTTTAAAGAAGTTAAGGGACAGACAACATGTAGCCATGGTAAAAACTAGCACAACATCAACTTCAAATTCAGAAACAAGTTAAAAAGCAGAGTATTTGACAAGTTGTTGAAAGTGTTCACAAAGGCAAGAACAATCACGTGGTAGGAATGAAACTGTTTCATGCAATAAGAGATGTAAGGCAAGTATTGCAAAATTTACTTGAAACTGTTTCATGCAATTTGAGGTTTGACGATATTTACAGGTTAAGTTCCTATTCAATGACGGGTTGTATAAACTTTGGTGGTGTGACCATAATCTGACCCAAAAGTGGGATTTATTTTCTTTCTTTTCAAGAAGGAAGCCTTACTCTTATGAGAAAATTGATGATCATTTCCTCCATTGCTGCATTCGGCTTGAATTCTTCATCAGGTTGGCCAGAAGATCCAGGGGTTTCTATGTTAGGAATTGATGAGGCACCACCAGGTGACATCACACACAGGGATTGAAGACCAGCTTCAACCTTTACTCGCTTACTTGGATCTTCGGAAAATGAAGATCCATCCACCGAACGCTTAGGATCAACACCAGTTGACCCATGGCTATATCCATCGGTACTCTGGTGAGGAATATCACTGTCGGTTACTATTTTCATTTCATTTTGTCTTTGCCTTTCCCAACTGACAACCAATCCAGCAAGTTCAATTGCGAGACGCCTATTTTCTGCAGTAGTATTATATGGCAATCCAAGGCGACTGAGTGAATTCACCATCTGAGGCACAAATTGTGCTCTGCAGCTGTAAAAGAGATCTGAATGGCGGACTATGAGCTGAAATATGTGGATTAGATTCGGAATTGAGTGTCCTTCCTCGACAAGGATTTTTTTTGTGTAACGTATCCAAATTGGCATAGGGGAATCACCAAGTGGCAATCTTCGTGGAAGTGCTGGCATTAAAATATCAAGAGCTTGCTTGACCAACATTTTATTCTCCGGCTGGCAGGTTCGAAGAAGCGCCACAAACACCTGCAGTTTCAACTTGCTGTGAGTACAATTTCTTAATTGGTGTAAGAGTTGGGATCTCAAGATAATGTAAGTCATAGAAACAAATTAGTTATCTAAAACACAAAAGAATATGTTTCCCAAACATTCAATCCACATAATTCCAAGGTACTAACAGAAAATGCAGTAGATAAAGTTTCAACAATAGATAACTTTGTCCCCAACAAATAACAGTGCAGAATAGACTACAAATCCTACATTGCCAAAGCACTGCATCATCTGGGGACTAAGTTTTCTCTTGGATGTTAAAGGTAGGTGTCGGTGGCATCTGGAGCCCTGTCTAATGGCATCTATTATGAGGAAAAATGGAAACTTTTGGGAAGCAGAAACAGCCTCATAGCAAAGATGAAGTGGCCATGAAGAAACAGTTGGAACTTTCTTTACCTAGATTCACAGATTAAAAAAAAAAAAAAAAGTGAGCAGAAAACTGTATTACAAATTTGAGAAGAACAATAGATTCAATTGGAAAAATATTCTGAAAATCTTATTCAACACACTTTCAAAACCCTTTTAACCCTTGATGCATGAACGAAACGTGGAGCAAAATGCTATCATTCTTGAAGTCAGACTGGAACAAAAGTAATTTCATTCATATGACAATCAAACTCTCTGCCTTTATTTATCCTTTGTGAAGCCTTCAGTAGCATTCCCAAGTTATAACTACTTTGACTCATTTTGACCAGTTCATTAGTAGAATAAAGCATTGATGATTCAAGCACCAGATGTTCTTTTTCTCACCTATTTCTCTGCTGAGGACATGAGGGTACACAGAATCAAACTATGAATTTGAAATTGGTAATATGAAGTTTGCCATGCCTATTAGGTGATGTAAAGGGAAAGCAATGAATAGTAATTACGACACACAATATAGTAGTAATAGTGAACATATAGCTGGCTATGGTTATAGATTTATGAAGCTACCTGGAGTATTATTTTCTCGGGCGCCTGATATGCCTCCAAGAAGTGGCAAACATTCACAAATGCCCACTGTTTACTAGCACTGTCTTCACGTTTGAGATGATTCCAGCCAAATTTAATGAGTTCCTTCCTGTGATGAACAAGGTCACTCTGAAGATACTTGAGAAGTAGAGTGGCAAGCTGCAAAAGCTCTATCCTCAAGGGCTCATCGTAATCAGCAGAGACCTACAAAAGATAAGAAAATCCTCGATATATAAATATGTGGACCGCACAAATGCCTTGCCAAGTTAGAAACAAGAATTGATACAAGGAAAAAGTGTCATAAAAATCATGCATCAATTATTTACCTCTTCTGGAGGATCAAGAAGCTTGTCAACAATGGTCTTAACAATAGTGGTGTCCACAACTTCCCAACTTTGGCCATTCTGGAAAGCATGAGCTAACATAGGGAGAATGAGCATTTGTATGACCACCACCAAGTGATCATGACCTAGCTGTTTTAATTGGAAAAGATTCAAAAAATGCAAAAGGAGGGTTTTCTTCATGTTGGGTGGATAGCCCTCACCAACCTGAATAGCAAAGTAAGGATTGGAAACAGTATCAAAACAGAATATTAATAACAGAAAATGACAGAGAAAAAGAGAACACGACAAAAAATGAACACAGGAAATTAATCATTCTCTCCAAAATAAGCATACCTCAATAATATAGAACTCCTTCAGGAAAGTAAAATCGATGCGTGTACGAAACAAGAATATGGAGAGGATATCAAATAGGACATTGACTTCACTCTTATCATGGCGTAAGAAATTCAGGAAGCATTTGACAAGCCATTTGCTTTCTTTCACCTGCAATATATAAATTATCTCGAAATCACTTGGAATTTGCATACTTAATCAAATAGAAAATCAATATAGGTATCGATTATTAAAAGTGAAAAATACTGCACACATTATAACAGATCTGTGTCACAGTTGCAAGAAACAGTGTGAGTAAGATTTTTTTTTTTCTATTAACACAGACGAAAAATGAAACTTGAACATTAAATCAGTAACACGAAGCTCAATTACAACTTTTTTTTCTTAATGCATCGAGTATGGGTACAGCATACAAATATAAGCCCTCTTACCTGCAATAACATAGCAAAAGAAGAATTCTTTCATTCCTTTTTTCTTTTCTTTTTTGTTGGAATAATGAGAAGTTCACGTGAGCGATCCATTTATAGAGCTCAACTTTTTAATAACACTAATTTCCCCAAAAAAAATGTTAATAGAAGAAAAATAAGCACAAGTTACTTGGAAAATGTCCATGAACCATGCATAGCAATTGGGAAAACATCCTCTACGGGACGGCCAAGACCCAGATACTGTTCCTTTTTTTTTTAATAAAAAGTGACGCATACAAACTTGACTCTGAAATACATGGATCTGCAACAGTGGAATGAGAAAAGAAAGGGCAGAGTAAAATATTAGAATAGACTAATAACTCAACCTACTGTATCAATATAGTGGGCAGACTTCACTGATAAAGTTCTCTAAGGATAGGTGCAAAGTTCAAGAAATTGGAATGACTGCTCTGATATCTTAACGAGAATATAAAACCTTTTCCATGCCTCGAGGAGGAAATGCAAGAGTTCCAGACACTTTACAGTTTAGGAAAAAAACAAGGCAGACCAAATTTACAACTTCTGATTGATGGTCATCAGACTTACTTGCACTAGGTTCAGTTCCTGCTCATTTTGCAAACGGACAATTCTTGCAGGTGATTTATACAGAAGTACTAATGTATCAAAAACAACACGATTACTCTGCAACCAGCCTGGCATCAGTTTAACCAAAGTCTTGACCAGTGCAAGTCCCTGAAAATACGCATCTGTGGTTTCACCCGAGTTGGCAGAAGTCGGATTAGAACTTTCAGGTTGAGGAGTGACAATGCCCTCATCACCCATCAAAGCTGTAGGTGGAGTAAAAGCTCCCTGAGCCATTGATGTGTCTGTTTTTGGTAAAAATTCAGGAAAGGCACTTGCAAGTATCTTCTCTGGTGACTTCGCAAGTTCTTCTCTCAATGGTTGGCCAGCATCTGACCGTATAATATACATAAACCTGGATTTTATGCCAAAAAATAAAAAATAAAAAACATAAGAATCAAAAACTTCACTGATTTGTTTTTCAGGCCAACCATACATGTATAAATTCACTTGAGAATCTCAACCTTACCGACTAAAATATTTTGACTGGCATAAGCGACTAAGAAAATAATCAACAGCCGCTGCTGGATAACGATTTAAAAACTTGGTCAGTGGAAGTCTATATGGACTATTAATCTCACTATAAAACTGTCCCGGGGGAAGGGCAGCTTCCAAATCAATAGTCAGGGTTACAAGCTCATCAAGGAACTTCCCTGCCGCAGAAGGAAGGAGGTGGAAAAGCTCGATAATAGCTGCAAGACGATCAATAAATTAAATCAGCACATCAACATTTGTATCTGTGAGTGTGTGTGCACGTACAACTTTAACCATAAAAACACAAACTAGATAATTCACCAGCAGCTATTTTTGGTTCTTCACCAGCCTTCCACAACTTCTGACATTGTGCGAGTTTCTCGGGTTCCAACCATTTCTTAAGATGCTCTAACAATTTACCACCCAATGTAACATTGAACCAGTTGGACAGAAGTTCAAGCAGACGGGCCAGACCTTGCAAAAGAGGCATGCTAAGATTTTTGGTATGTGCCAAGTTAACCAATATTGGTCTCAGGCTGCTCTGCAGAAGTTCTTTGGGCATCCTTTGCTGTAAAATAACCTAAAAAAGACAACAGAAAAAGGAGCGAGCTTCAAAATTCTGACTATTAAACAGAAAATATGCAAAAGGGACGACACCAAACCCAAGAAGAAAGCAACTCAACATTTCAAACATTTGGGCAGGTTACTCTTGCACAAGTAAGAAATACCACCTATTGGCTATTATATGCACTTAATTAAAGCCCATGTAAACGGGATAAGCCATCATCCAACCAAACCAACCTTCCTCACTAATCCACCCTACTTCTAAACCATGTGATGAATATAACGAGGTCAACCACACTAAGCTAGTAAAACGTAAACATAGAACAATCAGACAAAATCTGTTACTAAAAATAATAATGAAATTGTTTACCAAACATTTCAGTCTACCCAATAACAAATAATCAATACAAACAATAGAACAAGCACCAAAAACCTGTCTTAAGCCCTCCTTAGCAACAGCTACAATTTCTGGTGTCCTGCTTGTCAAGGATTTGAAAAACATGCAAATAATTTTAGCACGCAATTCAGAATGATTTTGAGTTTTGAAATCTGCCCATGCCATTGCCGTACATAGTAGTTCAATGCAAGCTGTGCGGAGCTTATTTAACGATGTAACAACTTTTGGGTTCATATACTTCACAACCCACACAGTTTCATCAGCCTCAGCTATTTGCAATGCTTCTTGCAGGAAAGTCACTAGTTCTTGATTCAACTTCAGAAGAGGGGGCCTCAAAGCCAAGCAGAAATTCAAAGCAGTAACTGTTCCAACCTAAATGCCACACAATAAAGTTAATTAATAATATCAGCAAGCAGTAAACACAACAATGGGAAACAAAAAATCTACCTGTTGATCAACAGTCTTTAAACGAAGTGGACGCATTATAAGAGGCTGAAGCAAAGGTTGGTACAACGGTTCAAGCAACTCAGATACCTCACTGCCAGTTCTACTTGCCAAAAGTGCCAAACAAGACTGCACAATCTTTCTTACATTAATAGATGCATTGGCATTAAATAATTCTGATGCAAGAAATTCAACAACTCCTTGAAAACTTTGCCTCCGAGCTTCGCTGTTTGCTTCATCAACATTATTCACAACACGGAGAACCTGTGTAAGCACCTGACTTGTCTCTTCCTGCTCTTTACTAGCATATATGGGGAGCCTTTTAAGAACATATACCAGCCCACGAACAATTAGTACTTGGAAAAGGCATAAAGTTTCAACAGTGACCTTTCCAACCAAAGCACCAAGCCCCATAACTCCTCCCATTTGAGCTTGCCAAGTACTTCCATAGCAACAATGCAAAAGACGAGGTAAAAGTTGCTCAAAAACCGGTATTCGAACACTTGGAGGAGGAGAATATACAGGACTCATTGATGGACTAGAGACGATCATAGGAGTACCAGGACCTCCTCTTGACATAAGCACGTCAGCATGTCTTGAGCGTGCAAGGAAGAGAAGTGTCTCAGCAAATACGTTCAGTGCACTCAGAGCAGCTTTAGCATGCAGTCTATTCTCATCTGCCAGCACATCCACTAATGCATCTAAAAAGATTAGGGGGTCCAACTCTTTCAGATTAGAGCAAGTACTATTTCTTAACTTTGAACCGACACTGGAATTCGATGAAAGCATAGGACCACCTAGCGGAGCACTTGGAGCCGATGTGTTAGCTGAGGAATTGTCTATGTGAAATAGGATTGCAAAATGGCGGCAAACATTTTCAACATATTCGTCCTTCAAATCATGCAAATCAGGTTCGGCATTTGCAGCAATGATGGTTATCAAGAGAATCTTGAACACAGTTTTCTCAGCCATAAGTTGGGTCTTTGTCTTCACACCTAAGTCAGCCTGCATAAATATTTGTTCGCCATTAAAAGCTATCAATATCAAGCAACCAAGGACGACAGAGACATTCAGCAAGGAAAAGGAGGGATAAATAATTGGAGACCAAACTGTCCTAGAACAAATAACTGAGAATGGTGTATCATCGACCACAGTCAAGTCAAAACTGAAAAATAGCAATCACACATACCCATGGTGAGCAATCTCATAGTTAGAACACAGTAGGTTACCAATCATTAGAGGATGAGGCGAACAGTTACATGTAAAAATTACAATAAACCATTTCCAGAAAAAAAAAAGCACTCATTCTCATAGAATTGACATATGCTACTTTTTTTAATGCCAATACTAACATACGAATCATTCATAAGTTATTAAAATTCAACATAAATTGGGAAATTTTTGCAGAAGTCTGCAACCCCAACCATGTAGAAATGGAATGGAAAAAATGCATGAGAAAGGATTCACTACAGGTTTGACATATACAAAAAAGAAAACAGATAAGAGCATACAATTTGAGAAAATAATAGTGTCGAATGCTGTAAATGAGTGCATATACATTGAGTGACATAATAATCAAGGAGTTCCATTGACTTGTAGTCAATATTACAGACATGCATCAAGTTGATAAAGCCCCAAAATTGTATTGAAATTTTCAAATAACAGTTTGTAGTCGAACAATCACAACCAAGTGCAATAGCAAGAATGGCCAAAAACACAACTTTCTTCTCTTCCTAGTAACACCCCACATATCATTCGATGAAACTCTTCAGATATCCTAAACCCACCAAAGTTGACTACAGTGCTTAAAACTTCACATCTCTATGCAGAATGAAGGTGCTAAAAGAAAAGAGCCTCACGTGCAGTCCACGTCCCAGTCGGCAGATTAGGGGTGAATCCACTTATTGCAAATTCAAGCTTGGAGCAGGAAAGCAGCACCACAAGGGGAAGATAAAATAAAAAGCACAGCCCCTTAGTTACCTCTCTCACTCCCCCAAGTAACCACAGGGTTTCTTAAAAAACCTTGTATACTCGCTTTCTTTGCTATATTTTTTTATCTCTAATTGATAAGAAATCTAGGAGAACAAAACAAAATCAGGATGAGATTCTCCCACTCTTATTTCTTGTAACTTTTTAACCATTAACTTTGAGAAAGTTATGCCTGATACTCGGGGTCTGACAAAAAGACTAATCAACAAGTATGTCCATCCTAGTGTGGCTAAATCTGTGCTAAGGTTGGGAGCGGTATTAGTAAACCTGGAGTTTGAGAGTTGAAATTAAACACATCTACAAATCCAACGTACCAATTAAACCAAACAATGTTCCTGTTTCAAACAGTTCAGTGGCTGATTCATCTCATTGATTTTTCCCCAGCCAATTATCATTGAAAATCACACTTACCAAAATATCCTGTATGTTAACCTAGGGAAACCAAGAACGAACTTCTTTCTAATTTTACACTGCTGAAAATCCATATGATTTCACACATAAACTAGGAGAACATGTTATCCAAAAGCAAAGAAGGCCACTGGCGATACTCGAGCACAACTAAGATAATAATAAAAAAACTGACCACAATTAATTCATTATCCAGAAACAGTATATTGTTGCAGCCTTTCCACCAATAGAAACACATTACTAGAAGGCCTAGTGTTAATAATGGGAACATGATTCAAATAAGGCCTAGCTCCAGTGGCCACTTGTAATCTCCAATTACGAAACAGTTTGTTGGAGAAAATAGGCTCCAACGGTTTCTAATAATTCCTAAATATGAACAAGCCTTTTTCCTATATCTACGGTTGAACATTCACATGACCGTGTATGGGCAATGATAATGCAGATAGAGGCCATCATGGGGGCATGGTTCAAAGAATTGGCGGATACAAACAACTCAGAACCTTCTGTTCCAATATCATAACAAGTCTCGCACGACGCAGCCAAGTTGTCCAGACGTCTACTGTCGATGCCAAGTCATCATCATTGAATAACTTGATACAACTCTCCAATGCAGCAATATTGTTGAATCTCTAATCATATTCAACTTCATCTAAAATTTCGAGCATATCGATTGATGTCATTCTGCAATGCCACGACCGACATCAATGCACTCCAAATCAATCACAGATGCCGCGATCTTAAACCATATTGAGGCAATAACAACAGAGAGAGAAAAAAGAGGATGAATTGGTTGAAAGTACATATCACATAAAACCTTCAGTCAATGCATTGAATGAAAATATAATAGAAGGCAAGAAAGCTATGACATTTTAATGAATCAGCAATCTAAATTTAGAGTAATGAAATGGTAAGAAAGCGATTGTACAAGTGCTTTTAGCAACAACTAAAATAAAATTTCATCAAACCAACCTTTATATCAGATGCTTCAGACCTTCTCAAAGATGGATCAACAGAGGAAACTAGAAAAGATGACAGCTGTATAGATGTTGATCCCTCATCAGTAACATGTCCTGGCAAATTAAGCTGCGAGGACAAGCATACACGAAGAAACTTCAGGGCTTGTTTCCGGTAGAAAGCATCAACAGCCCCGTCCTTCTGCATGACAGCTGCCACAGCAAGATTTATACAACGATCTAGAGGTACCAGAAATGAAGTGGAAGGCTCAAATGTAAGAATCAAGCGAAGCCCATGCTCTGGGTTTTCCTTGCACTCAAGTGCAAGAGGCTCTTTCAGAAAGCGTCTGTTACGACCACCTAATTTACCAAGGAGTTGCAATGATTTCCCACCCCAAGGAAAGGGTGCAGGCCTCAGATGAGACCACAATGCCAAAATAACTTCAGACATTACATTTGCCATACTTGGTTCCAGGAAATCAGGGTTCAAGCTATCTATCCAAAACTCTAGGGTTCTTAAACCTAAGCTCACAAGGTCATCACCCCCTTTAAGACACATGACTAGAGGCTTCATAAGACGGGGAAGATGAGGTAACAATGAGCTTAAGCGTGCAGGCAAGGTTAAGCAAAGCTCCAGCAAGAGTTCCCTCCTATCTTCACCAGTAGGCCCCTCAAGCATGGCCAATAGCATATTTAAGCAAGGTTGCAGTGTAGGAATCAAATCCCGCAGCAGAAGTTCAAATTTTCCTCCAGCAAGTGCACGAAACATTGTACGAAGAAGTTGCAAATATCCAATTGGCCTCTCAACCTCAGTAGCATTTTTCATGCAAGCTTCCATGATAACAGGCACTTGAGGCTGCAGAATACGTTCGCAATCTGAAGGAGCCTTGGCAACGGCGCCAAATAAAAACCTAAAGAGATGCAAAACTAGTTTTGCTGCGGGTGAATCCGGATGCTTCAGGACATCAAGTTTGCTACTCACAAGGAAATTAACCAAAACATCTGCGAATGGCCGGAAAACCTTAGGAGCTTGCAAAAGGGTAGAAAACATGTGGACTAGCTGAGTGTTGGAAATCATGCATTCGAAAAGCTCCGGCATACACAATGAAAACATGTCCATGAGATCTCGAGGCTCCATAATAGCCAAAATCTGGGAAAAAAGATGGACCATTTCCCTTTCCTCATCCTTCTCTTTGAACAGGGCTAAGCAATGCACACCACTCTTTAATACACCAGAAGCTCTCCATACCTACCAAAGTCAGATTAAGTTAATCCTGTCAATGGAATGCATAAGCAAACATTGTGTTAAGAGTTAATACCTCATCTTCTCTCATCCCTTTGAATGGTTGCGGTATTGATGAACTGGCTGTTGGAGCAAGCCCTTGTGGAGGTGTACCATGCGTGGAAGGAGAAACCTAAACACCACAGAAGTTTAGAGTTAGAGAATTGATAAAACCCCCTGCACAGGGGAAACAAACCAGTTGCAGGACCATATAAGATAATAAAATAACACTAAAGATGTAGCACTGCAGACTGAGAGATACAAAGAGACCTGAGACCGGGGTAAATGTGCATGAGTGATGCTCCAGATTATAGTCTTCATTCCTGAAGAACCATAACAGTGAAAATTAAAGAAACAAATAAATTAGTACAAGAATATGAATTAACCCTGTTTAGCATAGTAAAGTATTAAGCACCATTTGCATTTAATAAAAAACCAGAAAAGAAAAAGGAATCCAAAAGAGGAATAATTACCCATAACCAAGGTTTTTATCAGATGCTTGCAATCACTGACTTCCTTAGAATGCTCCACAGGAACCTGAAGATTTAAAACTGCCTGCAACATCGTTGTTGTTCAGGGTCAGAGGGGTTAGAGGAAAAAAAGGAGGGGAACATGGTGCTTAAGGGAAAATGGCAGATTTCATTACAAAGCAAAAGCAAGTTTCAGTTGTACCTTCAACTAGTATATGATAAAAATTGATTTGCCAAAACCAGTTTTACCACCAGATGTAGACATATAATAATGACAATACAACGTAAATCAACAAGAGAAATAAAACCATAAACAAGCTCATTTACTGCCTTTTTTTTTATATAGAAGAAGAGTCTTATGGAGGAAAAGAATGAAAGAAATTTTGCAATATCGAGGACAAGATATCCTCAAAGAAAAAAAGGATAAATAGAGTAAAATAAAAAGAATATAACAAAGAAACTTAAGGAGCCTCCCAATACTTGTTGAAAATCTGCCAAAAGCACCACTTTGAAATTTGCAGTGGCTTTTGTTAATGAAAAAATGACGAACACAATTCCTTCCCAGACTAGCTCTAAAGGAAACAGAACACTCCTAAAAAATTCTAGCATTCCGCCCAAAGCAAGGACACCAAAGAATTGCCATCGATGCATAATTCCAAAGTACATCAGTTCTTTGGTCTTCCCAAAACCCAGAAATCTGACCTGCAACTTCTTCAATGTAGCGAAAGAAACCCAAGTTTCACCAGTCACATTGAACAAGCAAGCTATCCACAAACCTCATAAAATATAAATGCACATTTAACCTTCCACTCCTCAGACTAGTTAAGCACAATATCAGGGATCTCTCATCTTTTGCTATACTTTGGATGTTAAACATTTTAACTGGTTCGCATCTCACATTACATCAACGAATAGCAATAGACAATAAACTAATATTCTTTGGAGACAACTATACTTTGATCTGCACAATCACCGTATTTGCAATGCTCAAAAACCTAAACCAAGAGATGTCAAACATTTGTGGGCAACTATGAAGCACTGACACGTCATCTAGGCACACATACCAGTGTCTGGCACATTTGGGACATGGACAAATGGCGAACAAGCGAAATAGAGTATCCAAACTATCTCACATTTCATGATCTTGGACATATCCCGGGCACCTCCAGACACACTTGGAACACCTTTACGTCGTTTCCAATCTGTTGAAGGCACTCGCAGTTGCAGGTTTCTTGCAAAATCCAACAAAGCAGATGCACATCCCATAAAAGTAACCATATAACACAGCCCATTGCACCACAACCCATAAATAGAGGTCATGGCCCATGTGTTCACTGCCAAGGATCCGTTGTTCTACTGCTGTCGATTGAAGGTTTTAGAGAGAGAAGACCGAAGTTGCAGAGGTGCAGGACTTAGAGACATGGGAGCGAAAGAGAAAAGAGTGAAGTTGAGTTTTCACATCTTGTTCCCAGAAAGGAAAGATAGAAGAGGGAATCTTCCTTTTACCATTTTTCATCTGCCACGTGCCACATTTCAATTGTTTATCCAGATTATTCTCTGGCCAAATACACCTTATGCAACTTATCTGAACCTTGATACTGGGATGTGGGTGGGCTTGCCTCGGTGGAATTTCTAGGTATCTTTTCCTCAGCCCAATGGAATGGATTTTGTGCAGTGATTTGGATTTATGCCAAGATGGGCAACAATGCATATATTTCACAAATAATTTATGTCAACCTTATAAAATATGTTTTAGGCCAAATTTGAGAATTTTGGTCATAAGAAATATACATATATTTTATTCCATGCGTCCCTGACATGTCCATGTTTTGTTTTTAAGAAACCTGTCTGTGACTGTGTTAGGTGTGTCCATGTCTGTATTTCTTAAGTGGGGAGCACAACAAGTTTGTCAAGACCCAAATGTAAACAGTGATAGAACAAAAAATTAGGTAAATAAAAGTTCGTAACAATGAACACCAAAAAATGTACTGATTGTCAGCAGATTTTTGATCAGAAAAACTTTTCAATGTACTGCTGTCTTGAATTTGCATTCATTGCCCTCACTTCCACAGATTCAAAGTAGTACGAAAAAGATGCAAACAGAACAAGTTAATTAGCAGTATAATGAAGCCAGTGAATTTTAAAGTAAACACCAGTACAATAGATGTAATGGTTTTTGCTTTATAGTACTGCTACTAATAAACTGATTATAATACAAAAACAAACAGATTATGTATCCACTGATGCCTCCACCCCCCCCCCCACGGAGCTTTTCCTCTTTTCTTCCTCCACTGTACTTTTTTTTTCTGGTAGGAGGGTGTTGAAGCCCTTTAAAAATTACACATCTCGTTACTCGAGGATAAAAAAAGGGTAGACTAAACTTCGGAAAGTTGTGGTAACAAACACAACCATAAACAGAAAGGGCAAGTTATCAAAATTACCTGCACAGGGAGTTCAAGCTTTGATCTCAGTGTAGAATGATCTTTTCCTTCCTCTCCCTCTTCCAGTAGCTACCACCAAAAATAAAGCACAAAGACTCACATAAGTACATAAGAAGTGATCTTTGATCAGAGGTTAGACCAATTTAAAGGAGTCCCACGATTACAGATTTTTCCTGTTGGGTAGTAGGGAGTCATCTTGCTAACATTTTGGCCTCTTGAACAATAAACAAGTGATTAAAACCTATACATTCCATATGCAAGAGCAAATGCATATAATCTTATGTGTACAATCACTCAAGGCAACAAGACCTTAGATTTCCAACTAAGAAATTGAAACACATCCAAAATAGAAGCTAAAGAGGGACCACTTATCATGGCGTCATACCATCACCACTTCAGCGAGATAAGAAAAGTTAAAATCTGCAACAAAAAATGCTTCTGCGGAAACTATTATAAGAAAGAATTATATTTATGAAAAGCAATACCCTCCAAGAGCGAAAACATGGGAATCAAGTTTGCACCCAACACACTATTGACGGGGACCAACATTGAATGATTAGACCTTTAACTTCCTTAATCAATCGCCTATCACATGCATTTTCTATAGCAACAAGATCCCACCCAAGTAATCATAAAAATAATTAGACCTTTAAGATACAGAAACAAAAGAAAACCATTTTCAATCTCCAACTAATCTAGGATGTTTGATAAATCGATCGCCAAAATGTTCTGATGACAAATAAGTCAACCAGGGATTAAAATTTTGTTTCGAAACGATCGAAGCGTCCGAAACATTTTTATTTCCAAGGAGACCGAAATGAATCAGCGATAGAATCAAAATTATAATATTTCGAGATATTTCATAATGTTTCGAAGTGTTTTGTAATATTTCAATTTATTTACACAATTGTTTTGGTTTCGAAATGTTTCAAGCTATTTCAAGATACTTCGGAAAATTTCGACCAATGTTTTCCAAAAATTAAATGTTAAATTTTTTTCATTTTGTTTCTGAAACTAGTCGAAACATTTTCAAAATACGTTGAAATGACTACATTTCCTAGGTGACCGAAACGAAATTTGGATCCTTGAAGTCAACATGATTCCTCATGGATGTCCAGCATGACAGTTATATAGCATCTCGATTAATTTTGAGTACCTGGGGGATAGTACGTTTGAAAGTGCTAAATTTCCCAACAAAAGCATCCAAAATTCGCCCCTACAGGAAAAGTTTACACAATTTACCACGTTAAGACCGAAGAAAAACACAGATACCAACAAGTTACATCAACTGCAGACAGTCAACTACTATATGAAAATGGAGGCACTCTAAAAACACAATATGAAACACAGACCAATAAAATCCGTGCTTCATCCATCGAAGGCTGATCGACACCTTTTTCAAAAATAGGTTCCACCTGTAACCAAAGAAAAAATCAACAAATAAAGTCATTGATCAATCACAACATGTATTCATATATGCAGTCAAAACTTAAAGTGGGGCAAGGGGGAAGAAGGGAGAAAGAGAAATGTCTTTTCTTTTAGAGGACAGAGTTTGAATTTGCACCAGATTCAACATTAAGCGAGCACAAGTAGTATGAATGCTGAGTGACAATGAAGCATCATGCATGTTACTCGAGAACAGGTAGATAATCCGTGATAACTGCACCACATTGATATAGAAGAGTTAACCATTAGATATAGAATTCAGAATATCTGATTCGGCAGCAACACATATGACTAAACAAAATAAAATATAAGTTATACAGATAAAAGAATGATCACAAGTCAAAATAGGGAGACAGTAAAATGTGTCATAAAATATAAGATAGGATATCAGGTGATAAAATCAAAGTCAATAATTGTAAAATCCGGAAAAATTTGAACTTTTTATGAAAAAGGATACAACGGTAATTTGCAACTATAGGGCGAGTTGAAAATCCGTTTTTCTCTAGAGTTTGAATGACAAAACGGATCTCACCGTTGAATTCGTCTCGCAAAATCTAGTTATCCAAACATATTTCATTGAATTTCTGAGATAGTCGAATTTTTTACATTTTACGAGGCGGTCAAATCTCCAATGACCCAAAAACGAATTTTTCAATAAAATTTTAAAAGTTGAAAAATAATTTAAAGAAAATTCACATAAAATATTTTGAACTTAAACCGGTATGAAATTTAATCGTTTGAGAACAAAAACAGACCCAGGAATGGGAGACGTATGACGCGACGTGGACCAAGCGTTAGAGTGTATAAATAGAAACAAAAATCTGATTTTTTAGACACATCTCTGATAGGTTTCTATTGGGTTCAAGTTGGAAGAGAAAGAAAAGGAAAAAAAAAGATTTTAAGACTTCTTTCTTGCATCTATGGAGTTTCGCTAGTCGGAATTCTTTAAATCAAGTATTAAAGTCGATCTACACGACGAGGGCTACGCAACCATACCAAAAAAGAAGGATATCACTGAAGATTTAAAGACGAGATTTTGAAAAAAGCTTGATTTTGGGCAAGATTTGGGTTCTTGGAGCTTCCTAGCATTGTTTTACGCTTCAAAAGATAGGATTTTCATCCTACTTAGGTTTATTTCTAACCTAAGATTCTTGTATGAAATAGGTAAGTTGTTAGATTTGATTTAACAAATGCCTATTGTATTTGAAATGTGAAATGGGTATTGAAAATAGGTAGAATAAATTCTACCTTGACTTAAATACATAGGAATTGCTAGATTGTGATTTCTTGAAATTTTGATAATTGGGTATGTGAAAACCACTAATTGTGATTTTTTGATTTATGTGATGATTATGGACATTTTTATGTGATAACATGATTTAGTGCCTTAAAGGTGTTTGACTAAATGTTTATGTAAAAATTAAGTGTGTTATTGCATAGATTATGTATGACATACTTGAAAAAAATTGTTGTTAAATGTGAATGTTAGAATATGCTTATGATATATTAGCATTGTGATGACTTTATGGAAGTTATATGCTTTGGATATAATTTGCTATGAAAATGTTGAATGTAGTTAAATTAGTTCATATGGTATTATTACATATGAGATATGACATTGATATTACAATAGTACTTTATATTGCATTTGCACAAAGGCATCGCATGAGTGTGGGTGTAGGTGTGTGTGCATGGTTGATCAAACGTCATTCTTGGTGGTTGATACTTGAACTCGACAAAAGTTAAATCGAAGATTCGACAGAGTTGCATAATTGCATAAAAAACTTGTGTCAGATATAACAAGCTGGGCTAGATTCTCCCTCGGGTGCAAGACTCGATTACTTGGTTCATACACTCCCCTATGGTAAAATTTCAGAAAAGTGTATCGGTGTGCCGAATAGGCGGTGCGACACCAAAGCTCCACTATTCAACAAAGACACATGATTTTGTTTTATAAAATAATCATTCGATATGTAACATTCAACAATGATTTTCCTTTTATAAACACATGACTTTTATTTCAAAATGATTATTGAATGTATTTTATCAATGACGAATTTATTACACATTGACATTACATTGTGTTGTGGGAGCCGGTGAGGGCTCAGGTCAAAGTGCATGAGTGAGTCTCATCTCATTTCATGGTATGGTAGAATTCCAACATTTAATTGCATATTCTTGTTTGGGATGCTTGTTACTTGTTGAATGTAGTCATTTCATATGCACTTAGGTTAGGGAGTAGCCTCTATAGGAGATACCCTATTAAGCGTGAATCACCCTATATGAGAAAACATTTCAGATGCGGGGTTCACACCGGTGGAAGACTCTCAGTCGGGGCCTAATTGTTGAAGAAAAACCGAAATGTGGCTTTAAATGATGTTTTTGTAAAACTAAACTTGTAATTTAGTTTTTGGCATATAATGTATGTAAAAAAATTGTAATTGAATTCATATAAACTATTTTTAATATAAAATTACATGTTGTTATATGTTTACTCAAAAATGGATCTGGTGTGGTCAATGTTGTATGATTGCACAGGTTGTGTTTTGGGTAGAACTCCCCGTACAAAGGAGACTTTGTCCAAATTTCGTTAAATTATGGATCCTGGTAAATGGGACATAACGGCATGATATCGAGTTACACGATATCTACAAATATTCCGCAAGTTGATAGGTGATCAACGGGTTGACAAAGAACCTCCGGTTTTTGGGGCGTCACAATAATGGGCTAGAAAAAAAGGAAGCAAGTCCAGCTAAACTCTACATCAGCAGACGACCCAATTTGAAGCTATGCAAAAGTATGTCAGACGTAAGACTGTTAAAAAATATTTAATTAGCACCGGTGTGTCCCAATTATTTTCCCTTGATTTTGTGGGCAGCAAGGGACCAAAATTAAAGAAATAGTGATTAGTGTAAAATGAAGGTTCCAAGAACCTCAGGGTTTTAGGATCCATAATGTTGAAATCATTACTCTAAAAATATGCAAGTGCAATGACATCCAAGTACCAGTAAAGCCACGGCCTTGCTCTGTTCTTAAATTCCGAATGATGTTTTTCCCATGATTTTAGGGCCTGATTACTTTGCAGAAGTTACTACATAATTATCCCTTTATTGGACGTTGTTATCGACAGTGACTGGTCCTGAAAAGTGTATGCTTAAACGAGAACAAAAATAAGAAAAATCCATGGAAGCCCAATACATGGACCAACAGGTCCCACCTCTGGTGTTACAATATTTAAGACTACCTTAGTTCTCAGCATGGATTTTAAATGAACCCCCATGATGCCGACTCCCACCAGAGATATTACATAGTGGAGATTACCTTACACATTAGTGTGGATTTTAGGCTGACTTCATGTGATTCCAACCGGCATAGTTAGAAATATAAAGTTTTTCATAACGAGGGTTATCATAATCAAATAGTTTGGTGAGCATTTGCTAAATCCTACCATTAAAAATACTAGAGTTTACTGGGAAATCCTTGTCTTGACACCTGCTTTGGCCTGGCACGTGACTTTCAAATTTCTATGCTTCAGTATAGCAAGTATATAAACACAATTGAATAAGTTGACCAATATAATTTTTCAGGCTTTCTATTCTTTTAGTGGTGAGAGATTGCATTATCTCTACTGGGTGATTGTCCTAAAATGACATAGAAGATTTGTAAGGTTTTCCTTCTTTCTTGTTCTCTTTCTCTCCAGCCTAACATCTCCAAAACTCCAGACTTTGGACCTAAAACTCAACCAATTATCACCTACCATTACGAGTCTTGTGGAATTAAAACACTTTATCTATCCAACCCACACTTCCTGCTGCTGAAATGAAGAGATATTTTGTCTTTTCTTTCTTGCTTTTTTTTTTTTTTGGTTCTTAATATTTAAAGACACTGTCTCTGTCATGAGGGCAGGTGATTTAATACAGACCAGAACTGCAACTGTTCCCATCCCATTTGACTTCCTGGGAACTCTGAATGTCTTGGATGGAAATTAGGTCCTCAATGTAACCCTCAGAAAGAGAGAGGAGAAGGAGAAAGAAAGGCAGAGCAGAGAGAGGGGTCCTCACACAGGATACTTCATTTCTCCTAAACCGATACTGTGAAAGTCAACCAACTCCAAGAAGAAAAAGAATAAGAAGGGGGGAAATGGAAAAAAGGGGAAGGGGGGGGAGGAGGGGACAACCGATATATGCCTCCTTGTCTAAATAAACATGGTATAGAGACATCATGGCATCAAGTTAGAGATTTAGGAAAAGTAATACCTGTGACAAGGAGAGATCTCCCCTAACATGATGAACAACCTCTGCCAGCAAACTATAAGCCAACGGCCTCAATGTCTCAAAGCAAGCCCGGCCAGTTCCCAAAAGGACCCTAACATGATTTATTAAGAAGTTCAGATGGAGTATCACAAGATCCCAATACTCTTATTTGGGTAAAAATTTCCTTATTAATCAGAATTACACAGTAATCAAATAACTAGGGTGTCGCTTACCTCAAAAAGATGCATGCATAAAAACTTGTAAAGAAAGCATCACAAGAGTGAACACATCCAAGTGGACACAAAAGGCCAAAAACAACAAAATAAAAGACGTGTTGCCCCGTTCACATTCCAAAGTAAGACAATGCATCAGACTGAAAGTTAAGTTCTAAACTTCAACAATTTTAGAATTACAGGCAGGATATGATATATCAATGTCACTGATAAGTGATAAGTGATAAGGCATTCCCTAAGCTTGCCTTGTGCATCACGCCTCCAAAAATTGGGAATACTTAATCAGTTAACAAAATTGCAAGAACGCAATAGTCATCAAAATACGATCAAACCTTCCAATAAGGACCAGCTGAAGTCATAGCAATTTTTTTTTTTTTGTGTAGTCGAGAATTCAGGCATCAATAATTGGGCGTTTGATCCACATTAACCCAAATCCATGAGGACTGGATTAGAAATGTGGCACGTTTAATTGAGGCACGCAGAACATCCACCCATTACCTGGAGCAAGAATTAGACTCCATGAAGTAATTATGTGAAGTTACTGATATTCTAAGAGCTGCTAGTCTTAATTCATAAACCATAGGTTGATGATTCCAAATAGCTGGAATATCACAAAAAAAAAAATAAAAAACCTCCTCTCCGGTTGTGTCTTTTACGGGACTTCCGTTGGAACTAATCATTCCGCAACAGAAAGGCAACCTCACCTCTTAATTCTACTTCTCCCTCCTTGGGCTATCAGCAAGTCCTCTTAGCTCTCAACAAGTTTGGAAACCCTGGATCAGAACTAATCGATACAATCCAATAGCATCAATCGAGAAAATCTAGCATCGAAAATCTGAGACCTTCATATCATTAACCCAAATTAATCCCAAAAAGAGAACGCAATGGGATCCACAAACAAGATTTCCTAAGAGTACAACTATCTTCGACTCCAGCACCAAATGAATCCCATAGATAAACTCTACATTATCTTTCTCCCAAAAAAGACTCAAACAAAATTAAAAAGTGAGCACTCTCCTAATGCACAGGTAAGTTACAGTCCGAACTAAATGAAAATGGAAACTCAAAACCACCATCAACCCAAAAGAAAACAAACAAGTCATAGCCATGTACTTGCCCAAATATACGAGTTAAAAACTTTACCTCTCTTCCAACAGTGTGTCAATCAAAGGAAATAAACCCCTCTTGAAATCTGTCCCAAGAACATGTTTAAGGGCTACCAACAATTCCTACATTCAACAAGTTTACGAATTAATTCATATGAATCAATTCATATATGTACACAAGACGAGAAAATATGACAATATATGAATTCACCTTTCGAATGGAGACAGAGTCAGAACAAGTAACAAGCAGGTTCACGATGCTTTTACATATGCTCTCTTCATGTGGCCTGATATAGTCGACGCAACTCTTCAACAGGTAAGTTAAGAAAGAAACTGTCTGCAGTAATAAAGTAAGGGTATCGGTCAGAGGCAAATAGTGAATTAGTAATTATTGCGACCATAGGCCCCGTCCCCTGCAGAGGGAAGCTGCCCCTCCAGAGGCAATGTATTGAGCACATACAGGGACGGAGCCAGGAGACAGAATTTTACTCATAGGGAGCCAAATCTCATGTAAAAAAGTCAAACAAGTACCGATGACTTATTTATTCTTTTTATTTATTTATTTATTTATTCATATATTAAATGAAAAAGTATATTCATTATGACCGAAGTCAACGAGAAAAGGAATAGTTTAAATAACGATCGAGTTAGTCACATATTATATCAATGTTCGTTTCTATCAAAGAAGTTATTTATAATTAATCAGTGCTAAACTTTTTGGTAACATTTTTTTGATGTAGACAATCAAAGAGTATGTGAGAAAATTATCACTCATCGTTGTGTCAAGCTTAATTTTAATAATATAAAAAGTTTGACCAATCTATCAAAAAATGGATAGTTTGTTGATATTCTAGTCTTAAACAACCATTCAAATAAATCAAAAATAATAGGCAATAAAAAAATCAACACATGGATATAGCATAATCCCATAATTGAAAAACCAGGCAAACTAAATAATTTGACTGACAGGAATTTATCTAAAAGAGTATTTTATTAAGTTTTCATTTGACAAAGAGAGTATTTTAACAAAAAAATTTGAAATGGGTCACAAACTAAATATATTTCTTAACAACTTTGATAGAATCTTATGGGATAAGTTCGTGGATCACTTCCCCAGAAACTATTGAGTGTGTATGTGGAAATGGAAAGGGAGGACCAACTCTCTTGACAGTACATAACTCCTACAAGTATTTAACATATCTATAAGGTCCACATCAGTACAGGAGGGGGAGGGGGGGGCCATGGCCCCTTTGGCCATAGAGTAGCTCCACCGCAGATCACATATACATTAAACAAAAACACTTTTTCTTCTTTTAAACAACAGAAAGGTAAAACACATAAGTTGGGCTTTCTTTCTTCCTACTTCTTATGTTCAATACAAGTTTGTACTTTAGCGAGTGCATTCCTAATATATTCTGTCTGACACCTACTATATTGCTCCATCAGTTTGCTGGATGCCTCTGTGCAAAAAATCAAAAGGCATTCTTTTACCCTTCTTTCCCCTCTCATCTCTTCTATTATCCTTCATTTTATCCCTGTAAACCCATCCTTTCTTTTCAACATCGAACAAACCTGATAAAATCAACATGCCCAGTCCCTCAACACGGGTTTTCCAATGGATTTTTAAACAAAATCTGCAACTAGCAGCACTGCAGGGTACCTTCCTATGGCAGTGGAATCTAGCATATTTCTTATGGAAAAACTCATAATACGTATTAGAAACCATATAAACACACAGAAAGAGAAGATTCCAGAATCCAATAAAATGGTATGATTACAGGCAGCTCAGTTGCATTGCATCCATGCCACCTCGGCATATCAAACCTGAACCTCACTGTCTGATCACTGTCCCCATAAGGATTTGACAGGTAGATTTACACCTTCAATTAAAACTTCGCCGGGATTATGCATGGAAAGTATTTCACAGACTCAATCAACCTAAATCAAACCAGATTGTTTTTTTTATTATTTTTATTTACATTTTCCTCAAAACATTTTAGTTATATTACTAATTTTAATAGTTATCAAATCAAGGTTCATATGAGAAATCAAAATCCTAAATTTGAGAATCAAGAATAGTAAGATTCAAAAAAATATTCAAACAATGATAAAAGTTTAACAAGTTACATATTTAACATAGGCAAGATATTAAATATTGAACATTATTTTATTTTAATAATAATCAATTGATGTATTGACATGATCATGTCGTCTAAATACAAAGATGCAAACCTCTATAAATCTTTATAAAGTTGCACTTGAATTTATACCTCTATTACTTTTTTCTTAATGCATAATAAATTGTTCCTTCAAAATAGACACGATGAAAGATGCATTATGTTTAACCAACAAATAGCTCGTCTTCATACCAACGAAGTTAAACTAAAATAGGAAAAGCTCATACTAATTCAAATAAGTAAACTTAAAAAATCACTTCCCACATTCAATTAAAAAATAATTTTATGATGAAAAACAAAAAACAGCACATGTATTAAAGAAGAAGAAGAAGAAGAAGAAGAAGAAAAAGTAGAGTATGTTAGAGTTTAAGTAGCAATTTTTGATGAAGAAGCATACTTGTGGTGAAGAAGATGTATCTATGTGTGATGTTCACAAGATGTTTTAACAGTCGCTTAAGAGGCAAAGATGCCAACAACAGATACCGAGAGAAACGTGAGTTTTATATTTGGGGGTGGGTCTCTTCTAGCAAAACGACATCATTTTGCTATAAATAGGATTTCAAAAAAAAAAACAAATCGTGAGATTCCTTCGATTCGAATCGAATCATATAATTCTTGCGATCCTTGGCCAAAAATGATTCTATAGTAAGATATGAATTGAATGGGACTAAATTGAATCATAAGAATTAAATTGCCAACCGTACGATTTTAATAACAATGAATTTTATTATATTTTGATTGCCTCCAAAGTCTTTAATTTGGGCAGTAAGTACATCGACTGCATTGTTAACATAATTCGTCACGACAGCTTATACAACTAGCTCCATGAACAAATATTACTAAACATTATGAACAATGAACACGGTTCACAAGTGTCTCAAAACTGATTACTATTTTTTTTTTTAATAAAATTAGCTAGCAGTACCCAGTTAACCAATCAGCCCTAAGGTGCAAATGCAGCCATGTCTTTCTTCACATGGCTTTCTTTCTGGAGGTATCTTCCATGTCTGCATCTTAGAAAGCCACATTGGAAGATACCTATCTGATACATACACTTGTGATGATAGAAAAGGGTGCAAACATGAAGAAGCTGCTAGATCATCCCCAATTCTTAGGTTGTATATGCGATTCAGGATTTAAATAGGAGTTCAAAATATCATAGAAAGAGAGATGGTCGAGCAATCAGCAGGCAGACATAGGTAACCGACAACAGGAATCAACCATCTTGAGCAGCAAGAGAGAAAAAGATCAATAATGGTCATATCCTAAAGAAGAAAGGAGGAGTAGGAACTACCCTTCATTGAAGTCTGGGTGAAATCCAATTTTAAGATTTCACTTCCATTTCTTGAAATATATATTCTAGTTTTTAGAACATGAAGATCGAGAGGATAACTGGGAGTCAAATTGACAATACACATGGATCATATTGCCTCACAACACCAATAAAAGCCATTCTTGATAAGGAGGGTAAAAGTCAAAAAAGAGGGATGGAAATTGACTAGCTTAAAGAATTAGGAAGGGAGAGAAAACGATGAAGGAGAGGAAGCTAGAATGGAGATAGGGAGAGAGAGAAGAACGTGACTTCAACATAAGAATTTAGTTAGATTCAGAATCAACACAAGAGAATGGAACCTTATGGATTATGTCCCTATTCCCAATTTTTTGCACTCAATAGGTTGAAAATGGTCCACTGATTGAAAAGGGTTCGCCTCGTCATACTGTTGATTTAGAGTTTTCTGGTATTGCATACCGTCTCTCTAGTTCCCATGTCTACCAATCAGGACATTCATCAACTGCTTTAGCTCCTCCATTCAAGATACGAACACTCGTAGGAATACTATACCTGCTACTTGGTGAGAGTTTCTCATTGTTGCCTATTACTTGAATGGCAAACAGGCCACATTTGGAGGGAATTTTGCGACTGTGATGACTGGGTTTGAGGTAGGTTAGAAAAGAAAGACCCAAGCAGAATATAGAAGTAAAATTGGATAGAGCCTTGATATAGATTAGAAAAGCTGATATAACATGTTTTCTTTCTCCTGGATCGACAAACGACAAAAGTCCACCAGAAAGAAAGCATCTTGCATCAGCTTTTCTAATCTATATCATGGCTCTATCCAATTTTACTTCTATATTTTGTATGGTTGATTCTCTTTAGTAAGAAAGTGTGTTCAATGGGTCGTACTTATATAGGGTAATGAGCTAATTCTCTATTTCTAAAAAAGCCACATCCGGCTTTTTTGGTAATTAATTATTTAATATCAACAGATATTCATTTCCTTTCATAAAAATGAAGTGAGTTCATATAAAAGGAAATCTTTCCCCTTCACCTTTGATTTTCAATTTTAATTCCCTTGTTAATTGATGTTTCTTGCCCTTGTTATCGTTCAAACATAGGCTTTTGATTAGTCTTTTGCAGTAGAAAGAATACTTATACCCTGCCTATGTCCCCAATTTCTCTGATGATAAAGACCTCAATTGATCCCAAGAATCTCCCATTTCGATTGGTGCTTTTTGAGCATAGGCATCTCTTGTAATCCTTCGATGTGGTGGCTACTCTCCTTTACCTCTATCACTCAATGGAGTTGTTTTGGTTAAGAGGTAGGATCAGTGGAGGAGCATATGTATACATAAACTCCTCTATACAAGTTTTCTAGTTTTCAAAGGACAAGCAAGGAAAAGGGAAAGGAGGGAGGGGACAAAGGCCTCGAATTTGAAAATTAAGCCCCTTAGTAGAGTGTTTCTTTTCTCTGTCTAAGTTATACTAGCACAGCCAACTAGATACCTTCCAGGAAAAAAAAAACAAAGCCAACAAGAAAACTCATCTGCTTATCAATTCTTCGTATAATATTCACTCATACATGATTGGTGTTGGAATTTTTCACATCTGCTTACCAACTCGTCGAAGCTATTGTTTTAAGTTTGTCTACCCCCTTTGTGGTTATATTCGACACCAGTATCTCAATATATTTAGAGGAGAAAGAAATGAGATGAAGGAAAGCTGCATGTGATCAGGGAAAACAGGATAAGATATATGCATATCATCTTAGCCAATGAGTGGACTTGCCTATGTATGATAAATGGAAATACATTTTAGAGGGAAGAATCTCCAAAAAAGCAGTTTCTCACCACTGCCTCTAACTAGGGAATAAGGAGTACAATTGACACTAGATTTCAAACACGCATTCATCTGACAATCCTAGTGCAGAATCACTCAATTTTATGTTGAGCAACATGTCATAAAAAAGCATCGCTCATCTGTCATAACAAAATCCTCACAGAAAAAGTACTCAATCCATAAGAATCTGAGATGTTGTCTCCTTTATTTCCCTATTATTTAGAAAAATATACTCATCAAAAGAGCAACTGAAAGTAGGTGCATTTGAGGTACTCAACTTCATTGCTCAACAAGAGCAACCGAAAGCAACTGCTAGAATTAAAGGAGAGACCAGAGTTGGCTTCAAAAGCAAGTTCAATTCAGGTACAGAACAGGATATGACAGAGAAGCAAACCAATAAGCTTTCGTGAAATAGAGAAATGGCTCCACAAAGATAGCATTCTAGCAGCTCGCAGATGATAGTTTCAAAAAAATAACACAAAAAAGAACTAGCACTTACCTTAACCTGGGCGCCCTTTAATTCAATGAAGTGAGTCTTGAGATGGGGCGGAACCTTTTCAGGACCCGGAACAGAAATTGCGGCGACCATCAATGGCAACAAATGAGGAATGTTGATCTGAACAAGCCGGCCATACAACTGAAACAGAAACATAACCACCAAGGGACTCTCCGTAACAATCTTGAACGACCTGGTACTCGGGTTAAGCTGCCCAACATATCCAGCACTTGGACATATTGGATCGGACAACTCCATTGGCCTCACATCTTCCCCACCTACCGATGAACTTAATGTCGACGATGACATAGAACCCAAAACCGCAACTGGTGCCGAAACCGCCCCACTTTCAAAGAAATAAGTTACAGTGGCCCTAAAGTTCTGGTAAATTCTACACACAAAGTCCAAAAAGGGCTGAACTTCATTTTCTAAGGTTGGTCTAAAATTCCTAAGCAAATCGAAGATAATCCTAATGCAAATTAACCCATTCTCTTCGTTATCGGTGGTGAGTGCATGCATTGCAACCTTCAAGAGTTCCTGAACGAAGGGCCGAAGGACTTCACTGTGAGGAAGACGATTGAGAATTTCCACCACAATGTTCCGGAGCTTGTGCTCGGGGTTATCGGCGAATTGGGGCTTCGTTATATGATACAGAATCGCGGAGAACGCCCGAAAATAACACTTCAGGAAATTCAAGTACTCCCCTGTGTGTGTGATCTCTAAACTGTCCCGTACCTCCATCGCCATTTGTAGCCTCGTCTGAATTGCTGTTTCAAAACAGAACGAAACAAAAAACAAAATCAAAAACAAATACGGAAAAAAACCGTACACAAACCTGAATAAGTATGCAGAGAGAGAGAGAGCGAGTACGTAGGTCGGGTTCTATGAGGTGGCGAGAGTGTTGCTCGAAATTCTTAATGGGACTCATGGTGGATTGTAGATTGTGTAAGCAAACGAAGAGATTCGAACAAAAATTGTAATCTAGGGCTTTGGAAAGAGAGAGAGAGAGAATAGATTATGAAGAGGTCTTATTTGAGGTCGTCTTTACAATTGGCACTGTACAACGGCTAGTGAGGGTTTAGGGTTTGTTTGGATGGAGAAGGTGATTTGGTGGATAAATAGGAAGTGAGATTGATTTTGGTGCGAAATTGTTCGTTCGTCGGAGGGTTTTATGAGAGGTTAGGCGGCTTGCAAGTGATCGTCCAAACAGTCACTCTCTCTCCGACTCCCCGTTTCTTCGTCCAGGTCGTGGACGACTCGGTAAATTGAGATTGGGAGAATTACATCTGACCTCCCCGAAAGTTTGTCACTAAATTACAAAGGTCCTTAAGATATGAAAAATAATACTTCTAACCCCTAAAGTTTGTACTGTGTCACGGCACACATAGCTCCCTTTGCCGTGTGAATTCCGTCCAACGTGCCGTCAAAATTCAGTGACATCAGCGTATTTATTTGTAGAAGATTTCCAAATTAGCCATCTTCATCCCGGACAACATCCAATTAAAACCCCAATAATTATTACATTTTATCAAAAACCCCAAGAATAAGAATTTCATAATAAGTATACCCTCTCTTTCCTCACACTAACCCCACCGCCACCTCCACTGAGGTTCACAGCCCCTAATAAACCTCAAGCCACCAACTGAAACCCCTATCCAAACCAAAATCAGCCCCTTCCTTCCCCCCAGCAACCCATCCACCACAACCCACCATTCAATAATATGTGGAAAATCCACCTTCTTCCTCTCCCATTTGCAACCGAAACCCCCCCCCCCCCCCCCCCCAAAAAAAAAAAAATCCCCCAACCCCATAATTTGATTGTAAACTAATTAGAATAATATACATAGACATATATATTTTTTCTTAAATATATAACTATCAATCGTGAATTACTTTAATGAATTATAACTTCTCTTTTTACGAATTGTAACTTAATTTTTAAAAATTATAATTTTCATGATCGATCACAATATTTTGAGATCGATCATTTCCTTTATAAGATATAATTTACGCTTTAAAAAATTATTACTTAACTATAAAAAATTCTAATTTTCGATACTATACAAAATGCGATACCGTAATAAAATCTGCTCTATTTTTATTTTCCTATCCTCGCTAAATTATGAGATTTAAACATGATGTTGGGAAAGTAAAAGCGGGAATCTTCCTTATCTTATCACCAACATGAAGCACACATCATCTACTTTATGGCTTTTCAATCCCCTGATGCAAATTGAATGAGATAACTGCACTTACCCCCTTAAAAGGCACCAGAAAAGACATTGCCATTGAAATAGAACAGAACGGAATGCATGTTATCGTCCTAATTTCAAGCTCATTGCATTAGGATGATGGTCTTCATTTGATATGGCAGTATGATTTGTCATGTTACAGATTTGTTATTGAATGTGATTCGTTGGTGTTTGTGAATTCTGTTTGGGTTTGTATGCATGTCCCTGGCCTTTTTTAAGATTATGTTGTGAAGTGACATTGACTTTGACTCGAGACTTGAGGGATTTACCCTTTTTATGGAAGAGAAGGAAGGCGGTGTTTGACGACCAGGGTTCCTAGATGGCTGTATGGTGTTTGAAACATGGGACATGGGATGGATTGTTTGTTTATTAGGTTTTTTGGATGTGCTTTGCTTCGCTAGTTTGCTGCTTTGGACTGGTCTGGAGGGAGCTTTTGGAAGGAGTTGTTTGGTTGTTTTTGGTTATTGTATATCTTTTGTTAGTTTTAAATTGGCTATGGCCTTACTTGCTTCACGTAATTCTGTTGGTTTTGTGAATAAATAAAATTTGTTTTTGATAAAAAAAAAAACCGCAGCAATACATCCAATCATGTTGTGTGGAATTGTTTTAGTCCTGTATTTAATATTAACAAATCTTGGGTGGTTTGTCTAAAGTATTTGTTTGATCACATGATACTGATCCAACATGGACATTAATAATGTTGTGTATGAATCGACAAGTATAATGTGTTAACTAAAAATCCACTATAAGCGTCTTTTCTAAACCAAACTAATAATATATCCGGTTGAGATATTTGTAAAAATTCAATATTACAAGAATTCATGCACGTATTTAGACCTGACAATCATGTCGGGTGAAACGATTTTGTTTCAAAAAAATCCTTCAATCATATACCATTCGTTTATATAAATGGGTTCAACTATCACACTCATATACAACTCATTTATTAGACGAGTTATCTGACACAATTCATGTGCCACATGTTAAATAAGAGAATTTATTAGAATTTTTAAAGTTCACACAGAAAATACCATCTCGCTAGACATATGTAATGTTTTGATTATTTATTTTAGCAATAAACCATGACTGGGCAAACACGTGTGTATGCAATAACGAATGTAAAAGAAATCATGATTCTTGAGGTGCGGCAAAAGGTTTAGAGACCTAATTTTTATTTTTTTTAAAAAATTTATAGTGTCACTCTTAATGGGTTAAACAAGTTGAAACAGGTTTATAAGTTAAACACGAAATTAATTTGTTTATTTCAACAGTCTGCCGAGTTAACCCATTAAAATTACACTTAAATCCGTTAAAATTTGTTCCGTGTTCATGTCAAGTTCACAACTCATGTTTTGAATTGTCAAATCTACACATACCAGATCAAGAAGTGAAGAAAAATATCATAAAATATCTAAATGGATTTATCGTCCTAGTTAAAAAAATGAGTTTTCGTATCAAAATCGAGTTCCCGTGATTAATCATAACTCAACTCGTTTACTATTTGAGTAAGAGTGTGTCATTTCAAATTCATTTACAACAATAATTAGTCATAACCTATAATTTTGTGTCTATTTATAAATCTAATGGTCTTCAAAATTATAAAAAATATTGGGTGCAACGGTGACATCACGTTATTATTGTCATATAATATCATTATTTAATAAAAAATATAACAAATAAATAGGTAAATTTCACGTACTATAATAATCACTCTACCATGTCATTTAATAACTATTAAAGGATAACTCATTTTATATTATTTATAAATTTATTATTAAATAATGATATAACGTGGTAATAATAACGTAATTCCACCGTTAAATCAATATTTACTCCCAAAATTGAGTCCTACCAAAATAGTTAGCAGTAGGACTTAAACCGTGGGGTCCAGGAGAGAGGAGGCAGGTCCAAATCAAAGGTTAGGAGTTGGGTATCCTTAAAGACCACTTTTGTTGGGTTTCTCAATGAATGTGATTTTTGGCAAATGGATGGGGAAAATATAACCACCAAGTATCACTGTCAATTAACAGACTTCTAGTGAAGTGGACGCGAAGAAATTAAGCCCATGATTTTCCTTTACTTAAATTAAATAATCAAAATCATCCCACCTTTACGACCGAACCACCTCTCTCACTCTCTCTCCCCTCTACATGCTTCATATTAAAGCAAAAAGAGATCTTTATCACCACTCATTCATCACAGCCACCTCTCTCTCTCTCTAACTCTGTGGTGTGTTTGCATGCATGGTGTAGAGATTTAGAACAGAAAGTTCTGCAGTGCTGAACATGGAGAGAGAAGAGGGATTAGTAGTGAGAGGACGCGTACAGATCGACATGCGCAAACCCTTTCGCTCAGTGAAAGAAGCAGTTATGTTATTCGGGGAAAAGGTTTTAGCTGGGGAAATCTATGCCAACAAGCTCAACGAGGTTTGATCTCTCTCTCTCTCTCTCACCCCCCGGCTCAGACAATTAACATATACAAATGTCATTACTTTTCTGTCAGATGGAAACCAAAACAAGGGAAAATGGACAATACCAATCCAAATTAAGAGCTGTAACAGCTGAACTTGAAGAGACAAAGCAAAGCCTTCAAAAGGCAAAAGAAGAAGGTACTATCATGGCTTTTTGCCTTCAATCTCTAAAAAAAGACCTTGAACAGACAAAGAGAGAGTTACAACAATTGAAGGCAAGAGAATCTTATAAAGAGCCAGATGATCCCGAAATTGAAGAGCTCAAGTTCATCGAAAACACAAGCAGAGTTGTAGTCAAGCCACAGACAGAAGATAGTTTTGATTATCAGTTTCAGAAGAAGAGGTCTGTAAAGTTTGCGAGTCCTTCTTCATTGGAAAAGTTGATTACAAGCAGAGATGTAGATGTTAACATGGTGGAGACTCACCCTTCCCTTGAGAAGAAGATGAAGAGGAAGACTCTAATCCCTTTGATTGGAGGGTTGTTTTTGAAAAAGAAAGGAGGCCAAGGCCAAGAGAATGATTCTCCAAGAGTCTAAGACTACCCTTAAATGAACACAAAATGTGATTATCATAGGCTGAAGTGAGGCACATCTTTTTGGGATAGAGCAATACAACTTTATAATTGCTTGAGTAAAATATTTATGAATATTGTTTTTGTACTTTTTTTTTTCTTTTCGAATTCAAATAATCTGCTATTCCTACGATTGTTTTTCCTCCAAATATTTTTTCTTGGCATTCTTTTTGATTGGTTTTGGGAGGTACCAAGGTGGTAATGGCTTTGGACTAGAAGGATAAAATGATGTAGAATGTGTTTGGATGATCCATGAGTGATCTCTATATATATATAAGAAAGTATATTTTATGAATCTAAAACACTGGGACTTTCCTTCATTCTTGATCTTAATCATATGCCTCTGGCCCACTTAACAACGTAAAACAGCGTTTGAAAATCTAGAAACAAAGCATATATTTGGCAACATCAGTCATAATGTAAAGAAAGTGGTAGAGAATCAAAAGTCGCCGGCGGATCGCAGCACATTGGATCGGAACAACCCCCTTTATTTTTGGCGCTCTAAGCTCGGCAGGTTGGCTCATCTATGGACCAATGTCTAGGCCCAATGGATAAGCCCACATTCTAGCCCATTAGTATTTTTTTTGAAACGTAAGTGATTTTTCAAGAACAAAAACTTTGGAGAACAATAGGACTTTGGATGGACTAGCCAGCCTAGGCCGTTGAGCTGTCAATGACCCAAACTTTCCCACGTAGTCCTGTCCTAGACAGTTTATTGGAGGGCCAAGTAGGCCCAGCCCATTCCTGACAATTGTGGACATCACACACGTTTTGAAGATGCAACAGCAAGCAATGGTGTGGTAGGAGAACAGTTTAATCAAATTACTTCAAATTTATAAGAAAACATAAACCTATTGTTATTTTATAAAAGAACTGGGTTTCTGAATCCATAAAGTGAACAATTTACTATCAACCTCCTGCATACGTTATTTTTCTTTTGTTCAATAGTTAGGAGTGTCTGGACTAATTTATGTGCATCTCAATTAATTTTTTCTTTGGTATGATAAAAAATAGGTCATCCCCACCAGAACAGGATTTTCATAAGGGATAAATCCCTAATCACCTAATTTCAAATAATTGTCAAAATTTAAATTTAAGACTTTTAAATTTATAGTTCGTTACTACTATTATCCGTAGAATAAAATACCACACAAACTTCCAATAGGACATAACCTTGCTAATGAAGGTAAAGACAGTTAAGAAATCATAAACAACCCCTTTTTTTTTGCTTCTTTTAGAATTTGGTCCAATCATATTTATGCCTTCTCCAGTCCTTTATGTGATCATGAACTCTTTGCAGCGCCATTTTCTCGACTTCTTTTTAGTGTCATTTTTCTCTCCTTGATCTTAAGGAATACAAGCTCTAATTTTAAATTTTTTTTTCCATAGGATGTCAATATTTGTGCCGACTACTCTCTCAAACTCAGCCGCTAGTCATCGTGACTTAAGATGGATTAGAACATGTCCTTAAAGAGACAAAAATGATTAACTTTTAGAGTGTATAAAAAAGGATAAAATTTAAGACATCTGAATTACGAAAGGTCAAGTACAATCACTAAATACCAGTAAGAATTTCTAAATTTGAAATTAAAGTAAGCATTGACATGTTCATTACCATAGAAGAAGGAATGGAACACAAATCCCAAGTTGACCACATGCTGCCTCAAGGTGATAATGCACCAGAGAGTTAGTCAACGTCCAAAAAAAAACCAATCAAATGTTACCTACACAGCAAACAAACAAAGAAACAAACCGACAGCAAATCCAATTCAGAGCATGGTGAAGATTTTCCCTCACATACCTTAGTTAATTATAAGCTCCATCTTTCACACATGCACTTGTTTATCTGCCCATTTCACAATTCCCACCTCTCCCTCTCTCTCACATAAAAATAGAACAAAAGTATTTTTATGGTCGGTAAGTCGGTTGAATTGAATAGAGAGGTGGCGAAGGCATGGATGTGTTCATTAACATATTAAAAAAAAAAACTTTGCACGTGTATGCATGTGAACACTTCCACTACTTAAAAGACAAAAACTTCCTCTTAACGAGCCCTAGTCTACACCACTATGAGCCAGCACCAGCACCAGCACCAGCTTACCCTTCCTTCACCTTGTGGCTTTTCACAGTAGCTTGTCGTTTTGCAGAATTTTCCTGCTGAATTCATGGATCTAAAAGGACCACCATTGAGTGTATATTCAAGAAGCAATCCGAATACCACGAATTTTCTTTCGATTTTTGGAAGGTTCGAATCAAGTTTGTCAAGTTTGAGTATGATCATGCCCGACTTGTTTGTGATTGATTAACCTTGGCTTCAACTAAGTTCAAGACAAGAGATTGTTAGCATAAGAGTCAAACTTGAAATAAAATCGAGTTTAATTTATCAGCAAAAAAATCAAATATTAAACCCTTTAATTTAATAATAAATTCATTAATTTTTCAAGGGTTAATTAATAACACTTTTAGTACTTAAAGTATGTATTTTTTGTTAGTTTAATCAATTTTGTCAATTTAATTTCTAAAGTATTCAATTTGTGTCAATTTGGTCTTTGCATAGACTTTTGACTGAAGTGTCTATGTATTATTTTTTAGGTAGTATCATGTGATCATTATGTCAAAAAATTTAACAGTTTGTCTATGTGAGGATCAAATTGACACGAATTAAATATGTTAGGGATTAAATTGACAAAATTGATACAATGAGAACTAAAATGACAAAAAATGCATACTTTAAGGACCAAAAATGTTATAAACCCATTCCTGAATAAAAGCCTCAAAAACAATGTATGTTGTCATAAAACTAAACCATACAAGTTTGAAAAAAAAGAGAGATAAGTGTATGTAGTCGAGATCTATTTTGAAATAAGATTCAGCTTGCTCATCTTTTATTAATTTAGGGCATAGCAATGACATTCCTAGTGTGCAAATATAGTCCTGACATTTTGATTTGGAGTTATCGAAAGCAACTGAGGAAGGTATAGAAATTCTATATGACAGATTTGGAATTGAACTACACACAGGTGATAAAATTTGTAATTATATTTTGTACAAATGGAATGTACTAGTCACCCTCAAAAACACCTTATCTCGAATCTTGGTAATTTTTTGGAGTCAATCATAAAGAATTTATCCTTCATAAATATCATAATCTCGACGTGGATCACCTGTATAAACACCCTTGACATTTGAACCAAGAAAAAAAAGAAAGAAAAACCTTACCTTCTAGCCGGTTTTATGGCCTAATTTAACTACAGCAATGGTCTTGAGGGAATAATTAGGTACCCCAAAGCAATCCATCTTTAAAAAAAACTTTAGTCAATCTCTCAACTGGTGAAGGGATCCTTCGGTATCGTTGTCATTATACATCAGAAGATTCCCATACATTTCTCAATTTTAATGGCCCCTACGGCCTTGAGTGTTGACTTAGTACTGATTCCCCCACCATTTCCAGCTAAAAAATCTGGCAAATTTTTCATTTTCTTTGCTGGTTTTTGAGGTCCCAATCGAAACAACATTATTTCTGTTTATTATAGGCATTGATTCCCTGCTCAATAATGGGTTTATTTTCTAATCCCATTACGAAGCTTCAGCAGTCTCATTAGAATGCAAGGAAGATCTCAGCAGCACACCAACCTGACTAGTTAATAATCCCATAAGTTTTGTAGAATTTTTTTTGAAATTCATCCTGCAGACCAAAAAAAAAAAAGGTTGCAGAGGCTCCTGCCATTACAAGTTTTGGGTGAGTTAAATATATACAGTCTTATCCCGTGTGCAGAGATATTGTTTTCATAATTCTAATAGTTGACGCCCAGATCACAATACTCTCCCTCCAGGATGAAGGTATTCATCCTGCAGACCGCAACACTGAATCTGTGTTGCGCACCGTATTATATATATACAACAATTTATAAACAAACTATCATTTTCCAAGGCTTAATTCCTGATTCTTACGGTACTATGACTCCTGATTAATCAATTATACATAATAGATACAACCTAATATACGCAACCATTGACCTAATCCTTACTTTCTCTCTCTTAACGCGCCATTTTCTGATTGGGTAAACCCAAAAATGGCTGTATTAAAAGGGAAAATTCTGGTGGCCAAGTTTAGCTCAGCCACAAGCCAGATTACAACCACCCAAGCCTTTGCACTTACACAAACTTCCAACAGCCCATCCAATATACATTAACATGTGCCGTTGTGCTTATTCATAGGATTCTTATACTTTTACAGTCCCTCATGGTTATCAGAGACAAAAGGCCAGAAGCAAAGAGAGAGAAACCCAAGACAAGGCAGAGGAGGACCATGAAGAGCCCTTTTTGCATGCCAAGGCTGAGAGGCAATACTTGCACAAGAAAAAGCAACCGGTTATCGCCCATGTCGTTGATCGATCGCCTCCGTGAGGCGGTGTTCCGGTTGATCATGCTATCTGCTCTCTCCAAGGCTACACATGAGAGCAGATCGTCTAATTCACAGAGGCCTTATTGCTCCCATGACCCTTATAGCAGTGAAGCAGTTGCTGACTGCATAGAGTTTATTAAGAAGTCGGCAACAACGGATGAGAACCGAGACTCCACTGCTAGTAGCTCCATTGATGTTGCCACTGGGGTGGCCATACCCGTGCCAGCTATGTGATGCACATCCAGAGATGAAGCCAGGATTCGCGAAAAATGAAAGATTGAGAGGCAGAAGAGAAGTTACTGTTTAAACAGCGAGATTTTCGAAAATCCAAGAAGGTCATAACTACTCTATGTCCTTGACCACATCGTGTATCAGATTAGAGACATTGATTTTTCAATTTTTTTTTTCAGTTTGTATATTGCTTGGTGGGTGGTCATGTCAAAATTGTATGAGATAAATTGTAAATTGGTATGAAAAAACATAGAGGGAATTGTAGGCTATTTTGATTGATTTTTTTGGTTTTTGTATGCACGAGTGTGTTCAAATCTTATTGATTCAAAGTACTTTGTCTTGTTAATCAAATACATGTTCATTTACCCCTGATAAAAGGGCTGTTTATGGTTGCTTTTCTTCCTTCTTTGGCCATTGAAAATTGGATTGTTTGGTGGGTCAAAGGTGAAGTGTGATAGAACTGGGACAAATTTTTTCAAATTTTAAATACCAAATCAATGTAAACTATAGGATCAATAAATCCCACAAACTTTCACTAACGTAGTTATCATTGTGACACATCATTTGGGGTTCAAAAAATTTGTAAAACTTTGGGTGAAGACATCATTTCCCAAATAAAAGTGGGAACCAATTGAACAATTTGAAGCAAGGCGAGTAGCATTTGATTTATTTCTTAATGATGTGTTGGTGTGTCAACTGTTCATGGATGGTGGAGTCACACAAGATATACCGCTTCTGCCTGATGGTCAGCGGCCCAAGCAACAGAGAAGACCACCACCTTGTGGGACGTAGTCTTTTTTTTCTGTATTTTTGTTTTTTTACAATTTGTCACTATTGTTGTTGTATATAAAGTTTTTTGTGTTCATAGTTTCATATAATTTTAATTCATTGATGTCTTTCAGATAATTTATCCAATACTCTAAAGAGATGTTTGTTGAATAACATAACAAAACTTATTAAAATTTAGAGGGTCATTACAAACCGGAATAACACACCATATTTCACAGAAATAAAATACAAAAACATATTACAAACACAAATACGACGATAAAAGTGTAAATATTACAATACAGGATTTTCAAGAGTACTTCTTCATGGGTCTTCATCTTCGTCAGATAGTTATAGGGGAATTTATTTATGTGAGTATGTCAGTCTACCGACAGTAGAACATTATGTAGTCACAGTCACTGACTACACAATAATATCTAATCGCACTTATCGACATTGAACCATTGTGTTGTCACACAGACTGACATTTAACCTGTGTTTAGTCTCAGTAACCTAGTGTGTTGTCACAACGACTGACAATGATGCAATTATCAATGAATGTACCTATTATTTATTCAGCAACATGCGTTAATGTAGACCCTACATTGCACTTCAATGCACTATTGTGTTGTCTTGTTCGACATCTTGTGACTACACAGTAATTAATAGCCACAAATCCTAAAACTGTTAACGTATCACAGGTCGTGAATCAGTACAATCAATGAACTATATTTCTCAGTTTGTTATCACAATCACTACATACTAGTGTCTATTTCTGCTGAGCGATCTAATGTATTGTCTAATGAATAATATCTATCAGATGAGTATATGTCTAATGAAAATTAACACATACAATTAGTGTCCACCTTATTAACCATATAATGTTTATGTCTATGTCCTTTTACCTTTAATCAATATTGTGCATTTATGAGTTTATTCAGTGTATTGTCGTATCTCAATTTTTTTTTTCTCACATCTTCTCATTGTCAAATCAGTTCTCATCATTGCAGTGTAATGTCTTATTTACTTTAATCTATCTTGTGGCTTTAACAACTCAATGCAGTGTGTTGTCATATCCCAATTTTGTTACTATCATTTTGCAGATTGATGTCCTTTTACTGTAATTTTTTATTGTCAAACCGAGCATATATATATTACTATTCACAATTTTGTAAATGCACCACCACCAAACAAAATGTATAAGAGCACATTACATGTAAGTTCTTCTTCACACAATGACCAAAATTGTTCATCTTCGGGTAATAAACATGAACACTCAACGAACAGCTCAATATCGCTGAACAAAGTTCATTATATCGAATCATATACTGATTCTACTAGTGTAATGTGGTATGGACAAAATCGTTTATTCCGCAATGAGCCAATCGACCTTTATCACTCATTCGGACAAGCTAGATATGTAATTGTTGGCCTTACAATTGATTATCCACCATCGACCCTATGATGGTGGAAACAGTGTGGCCATTATTGTAGTCAAAAGCTTACACATTAATTCCCTCTTTTCTCACCCAAAGTGTGGGACCTATCAAGTCCAAATAAAGATGTTTAAAATTATAGAATATTCGAGAAGTTATTCAAATGTGTAAGACCAGGCCTTTCATAAAATAGTGCAAAAAAGATGAGTCTGCAACTGCAAATATGAAATAAATTAAAGGGTTAATCTCAATTTACACTCTACAAATATCCCTCAAATTTTAATTTACACTTTTAAAGTTTAAAAATATCAATTTATAGCTTGAAAGATTTAAAATTGTATCAATATGTACATGGAATTAACTCGGTCCATTTTTTCATTAAAAAAGTTTGGATTTATTATAAATTATATCCTTCAAGTTTGATTATTTCATATTTATGATCTAAAAAGAATTCCATCTATTAATGGATGAAATTCTTTTTGGATCATAATTGTAAAATATTTAAAATTTGAGGGGTGCAATTTATAATTTACCCAAACTTTTTTAACGATAAAATATATGACAATTAGTCTCAGGTGCATATTGATACCTCTTTATATATTTTAGGGTATAAATTAATATTTTTCAACTTTGAGGGTGCAAATTGAAATTCGAATTATCTTCCAAGGTGTAAGTTAGCCTTAAATAAAATATAGATCAAGTATTTTTGTTCATATTTAACTATTAGATAATTTTATGTATACCAAATTTGTGTATCAAAATTTACACCATATCAAATGCAATCGTTGGATCACTGATGGGACCCACTGATCCAACGATTACAAGTGATTTGATGTAAATTTTAGTGTATATATTTTGTGCACATAATATTATTATTCATCATAGATATTATGTCACAATTTAATAATAAAAAAATTATTAACAATTTAGACGTTATTTGTTTGAGATATCGTATATAAATATATTCAATAATTCATTGACTACAATAATATAATTAAAATATTAATGGTCAAAATGAACACTTTGCAGAATTTCAAATGCGGAAGACCAAGTCTTTGATGAAATATTGAAAAACGATTAGTTAAGACTTCTTTAAATGCGTAAGTTGGACTGACGTGTTTAAAGAAACGTCACTGACGTTTTATAGCTCACTGTATTTAAAAATAAAAGGAATAGAAAAGTCAAATAGATTGACGTTTTTAAAAACTACCCATGTTTGAAAATTATTTTCAAACCCACCAATTTTTGAAATATTTTTCAAAAAAGCGCCTGGATTGGGCCAATATCTCCGTTGAGTTGAATGGATCGGCCTCAAAGAAGAAATGTCCTACGTAAGAGAGGGGGCTGGTCAAGCCGTCCATGTACGTCACCATAATGTGAATGAATTCTCCTCAATGCTATAGAATTGGAAAGTATAAGTATTATAGTTAAATTAAATGATTAATATTTTGAGTATTATAAAATTATAAACCATAACATATAATAGTGGGTCGTTCACTATGAGTGTGTGTGTGAGAGAGGGAGCAGATGGGACACTTATAGTTACAAAAATGGATCTGAGACATCGAATTGTTGCATACTCGCCAGAGTTGAAGAAAACGAACTTGCCTGTTCGTCATCAGAGAAGAGAATGATCGAAGGAAGATGAAAGCCATTGAACAGATTTCGAATCGATTTAGGGCAAAATTTTTTTTGATTGCATCTATGATAGTGAGATCCAATGTTATGGAAAAATAAAAAAATTAATAATGCCGATCACATTTAAGTTTAAATTTAAAAATCTAATGTATTGCAACCATTGGGTTGATAAAAAACTTCATTGAATGTTAAATCCCACTACTAGTTTAACATATAATATGACACATTTAGTTCCCAAATTATATTTCATTATCATTATTAAAAAAGGGGGTTTTCATATTTTATACTATGAAAGATTTCAAAATTCTCACTTTATGATTTTAAAAAATTAAATTTTTCACATTGTATTTTCAATATATCAAAAGTATTGTAATATGACCCTTATGTTAGCTTATATTATTTTTTTGGTCAAAAGTCAACCCATTGACACTGACAAAAAAATTAACTGAAAGCTAATAGAATGGTTACATTACAACACTTTTGATACATTGAGAGTATAATGTGAGAACTTTATTTTTTGAACGTACAAAATAAAAATTTTGAAATCTTTTAAAGTACAAAATGCAATTCACCCTTTAAAAAAAACCACCGAAACCAATTAAACACCCAAACTTAGTTTTAATGAAAGGAACTTTCATATACATAATTAAGAACCCAAACTTAGTCTTAAGATAAGTAAATATATGGTGTAACAGTGACGCCATATTATTATTATCATATGATGTTATCATCGTCCAATAACAAACTCACAAGTAAACAAGGTAAAATCTCACTTCTTTAATTAGGGTGTATATTTCATTACATGTACCTGACAGTTGTTAAATTAAGTGAAATTCATTTATTTATGTAATGTTTTGTACCCGTTACATTTAATATTATTTTCGCCTTTGAGTCTTATGGTCTGTTTGGTAGAAAGAATGAAAAGTAGGAGGAATACACTTTCTATCCTTCAATGATGGAAAGTAGGAAGGATAGACTTTCTTTCTTTTGTCTTTGGTTGGATGAATGAAAAATAACAATGACTATTTTTTTTTTGTACTGGCTAAAATTAGGGGTGACAATTAAGTCGTGTCGTGTCAGATTTATGTTGAGTCATTACATGTTTGTGTCGAGTTTTAGTCAAACTTAACTTAACTCATTTAACTAATTGTGTCGTGTCGA